GTTAAGTTCAAAGATCCCCAAAACTAATCTAAAATAATCAAACTTAAAACCATTCTATACCCTTCTCACTGCCCTTCTCATAAATCTTGGCAACCCCGAGCCCACAAGGGAACACCAGGTACCATACGAATCTTTGACCAAATGTGGCCTCGTCAGGCAAAATAAAACATCCACAGCGACACCAACCCGGACTTGCTTTGCTTCCATTATTCTTTGGTGCACGGAGGTTGGAAATGCTGCTCCAGCCACGCCCCAGCAAACAAAATATGGATGAATGTTCATTTTCAGTGGCCGTTTTCCCCCTTGAAACTTGTCCCATAGATTCTTCCTGCTTAATCTGATTAACTACTTGAGGATGGCTCCAGAACTTGAGGGTCTCCAGTCTCCTCACTTCGTCATGGCTCCTCGCCTTCGCTCCCCCCACCGTGGCACCAAGGGATGCCCGTTCCGCCAAGGCACGAAGTCCTGGGTCCGGACCTTCCTCGGTGACCGACCGAGACTGAACCACGCGCAACTACGGTCGGCAAACCCCTGGCCCTATGGATGTAACAGCAGAAATGGATGTTTCACAATGAGCATTGCTCATTGAGGGTTGGCACGTCACAAGGAGTGTACGTACAGGCATGTTCAATATATAATATATACGTGTTTAAAGTTTAACGTCCCATGGAGGTCAGAGAATCCAATAATTACAGTACATTTTGAGATCTTGTCCAATCACCCACCTAGGCCCTACGCTCCTTATCTCCTTGCTTCCTGAGCTCCTCAGTTCCCAGGTGTTTAAAAGATTAGGTTGCAAAGGCAAGTCGCACATGTATATTTGTCTCAAAACATCCTGAAGACCTTCCTGATCCAAAACGTCCCTTTCAGCGTAACTTCGCAGGAATCTCGCAACAAACGTCGCCATCTTCGCTCAGCCTCTGATTGTTTGCTATGGCTTTGTGGTCCAGCGCCAACAGCCTCTCCAGAAGCAAAGAAATCCTCGTTCGCAGCCGCGAGTTGAAGGAGCCTCACCGTCAACGAGTCGAGTCAGTCGCCGGCAAACTGGGCGTCGCTCGTGGCAAACCGGCGAGGCGTGGCATTCTCCGCGCAGAGTGGCTGAAGTACCAAGCGAACTGTTCATGAGTAGGCGGCGGGATGGGCGGTGGAAGCGAATACAACATAATACAACAGCAGAATGGAAAACAAATGTGTATCCAAGGTGATGACCAAAGCCACAACTGTGGCAGGACCTAAATCCTCAACCACTTCCGCAAAGTTATATAGCTCAAATCTGTAACCATGATCCTGTCTGACCACCTTTCTACTTCACAACCCGCAGCACATGCACCTGCCAAGCGAGAACTCAGCTGCTTCAGCAAGGAGGTGAGTGTCAAGAAGACGTGGCCGTTGGGAGAAACGCCCAGCTGGGAGATGAGCTTCTTTCCTGAGCCAAACGGACCTACCCAACGCCCGAAGAACCCCAGTGGTGCCAATGGAGCGGGCCCGTCCATGCGGCCCATGATGTCGATCTTTCCCGCAAGGTCATTCAAATCACAAGGAATGCATAAGGTTAATGCATTGCATTGTGTTCATGGTTTTTCACGCAGTTCGTCCAAGATCAGTTCATCCCCGTTCATCCTAGCGTCTCTCATCCAGCCGCTTTGCTTCTCGATCTTTGGCCTCTTTCTGCAACTGAGTGCCGGCTGGCCACGGCCGGGCTGGCTGGCTCTACCGGGTGGTTCTGAACCCTGACGGAACTGAGTCGGTTTTGTGGGTCTCCGAGGGGTCGGTTGGTGTCTTCAACTGTTCCTTTCCCCTCACTGGGAGTCTTTCCGTAGGTTCCCGAATTTTGGAGGCACTGCCGCATGGCTGGACAGTTTAGAGTCTAGAGCCAGCGTCTTTGGGTCAGGTCTCTCTCTTTGCGTGTCCATCCTTGATTGGAAAAAAGGGGTCTCGTAAGATTTAGTGGTCGGGTTCAGTAGTACAATGTCCTAGTGTCCTAGTGAGCAGCTATTCACCCAATGTGGAAATGCGCATGTCCTCTCCAACTTCTGGATCCAGAGAGCGCCAAATGCTGGAAGAGTATCATTCAAACAGCCTATATATGTTTTGGGGTATGTCGTCCTTCTGCCGCTTTGTGGGAAATCGAATCGACGTGAGACATCCATCAAATGCTTTCAAGGCCCGATTCCTGCAGTTGGAAACTTGGGTGGTGTAAGAAGTGGATCAGTGGATCTTCAATCCGTTTTCATTCCGCAAGGTGCCCAAGTCGAGCAAGATCCTAGAAAACGTCCAAATGTTCATGTGACTGTTCAGAGATGGCGAGACATAGGGACATGGAGGGGGGAGAGGGAGAGAGAGAGAGAGAGAGAACAAAAAACAAAAGAGAAAGAGAGAGCTAGCTAGCTAAAAATGCGGAGAGAGAACATGAGAGGACAAAAGCATGGAAATATATACTCTAGCCAACGACCAAAGCTTTGTTGTTGGAACAACCGTCAGCAAAGCAAACAGAAATGGTCAACGATAGTCAAACAAACCCGATTATCTGACCACAAACTGCGCATGTATCATAGGCAGTTCCAATTCGCCTCCCCATACGAACCCGTGCACGACTCTCGCCGAGGAACCCTTGCTTCTGTCTTGTTGGTATCTGGAGCTTCCGCAGCCTTGGCTTTCGCCTCGGCCTCCACGTGGCCGGGCCCAGGTGGGGGGTGTTTTGGAGCACAGCTCAAGCGGTCGAAACTGGAGGTGCATCGACTGAGGACGACTGAGTTTGGACAGTATTTGGATCATTTAGAAGAGAGCTTCAACAGCAAAACAGTCACCCCTTCATGAGGGAAGGTGGAGGATATATGTGTTGAAAATCCTGCGGCATCTGTTGTGGAAGCTTTCCAAACCACCATAAGAACCCCTCCCAGCGAGATTTCGTTGGCGCGCTGAATGCTCCTTCAAGGCCTGTGTCTGAACGACCTTGCATGACACAGTAGAACTTGAAATTGATCGGGCCTTAATCCATATGAATACGCAAATAACTATAGTTATATGTATATTATATATATATATATTAAAACGATAATATATATATATATATATGTCTATACTGTAGTAATGACATGTGATGACTATCTTTTGGCTCATCTCATTCTTACTTCTGTCACCTTGGAAATCTCGGGCGGCTTCCCGGCTAAACGAACAGCCACGAGGCATTCCTCCTCCCGCCTCATACTTGGCATCAAATTCTTTGAGCCTCTGTTGGGCCAAAGTCATGGAGGCCTGGGCACTGCTCCACTGCTCCACTCTCCGTCCCAGCGACGCTTCGGATGGAACCACTGCATGTCCATGTTACCATGTTTCAGTTTCAAGCATCAACGGACTGGAAAACAGGTCGATCACTCGCAAACGATGGTCAGTACAAAAAGCGCACTCGGCGGCAGCACATCCCCCCCCAAAAAAAGCCCTTGCAGCCCTTTTCAGCTCTTGCCTTTCGCAACTTCACCAAAGAACGCTCAAAGACTTCGACCAAGCGCTCGAGTTGCCTGAGAGCCGGGCCAGAATTGTGGGGTAACCTCTGGCCCCTAGGAGAATCCAAGGTATGTCTGATCTACTAGTTGTCACATGTTGTTGCTATCTTCTGGCTGTACAGCTGCACTCCTTTGTGAATAGGGTTGTCCAAAAGAATCTACAGGCGCCGGCCCTACCATTGATGGCAATGACCCTAGTATTGAGTTCTTTCGGCTTCAAACGGTGCCGAAACGGTGCCGAAACTGTGTCCAGCATCTGTGCACAGACGTCTGTGCGTCTGACACGGGGCGTCCGCGGATCCGATCGAGCCCCCGGGGTGATCGGTTGGGTGACCACTGGGCCTTTACAAAGAACCTCCGGAGGTCGAAAACACCAGACTCATCCCAGTCACACCAGCGACACGAGCTTGGTGGTCTCTTCCGACATCTGCACAAACATCATCCACCAAGATTTGCACCTGGCATGATTCTCGCGCGGTCAGCGAGTTCAATCGTCAGTGAAGGCCATGGGAATATATGCTGTGGGAGATGGTTCATCTCCCTGGGCCCAGGTGTTGTGTTCAGCTGCGGCACTTGGGGCACATTCCCAATGTCTGCTCCTCATGGGACAACGCTCATAGGATGATCCAAGCCCGCAAGCCGCCGCACAGAAACTGCGCCCGACGCTGCGAACGACGGCTTCTTTTGATTCAGCGGCCGGCCGGCATCATCGGCAACCGGAGGAGTAGGTCACTTTGTACATCCCACGGGGTCCATGATTCGTCCAAAGTCTTCTCAGAGCTGTGTGTGTAAACACCCACTTCTGTCAACTTTCAACATAACAAGCTCAACCAGGCTTCAACTTCTATATACATGTTGGCATGAAGGAACAACCCAAAACCCCCTTCACTACCCCCTTCATTACTGGTGATGAAAGAAACTCTAGGCCCTAGGCACGAAAGACGTAGTCCAGGTATGATAGGTATGCCCCACACCCTACCATGTCACTATTCCTGGTCACCTGCAACATCAGGTCAGCAAGTGCAGACTCACACCGTCCGGCACTCGCGTGTCTTCCTTGGACCCCGGGTACGTCGTTGGCTCGACCACTTTTGGGCCTTCACCAGTTCGGGCTGAATTCAGCTGGGCGGGTCACCTCGGAGTCCCACGAGTTCGGGTCGTCCCACGAGTTCCTCGGACACCGGAGACCTTTTTGGAAGGCGATGTGGTTTCTATACCCTTCGGAAGGGAGAGAAGCTGGGGACTGGGCTTGGCCTTGGGTGTGTGGGGTATTGAATCCCTTCCCGTGGAAGCAATCGATGAAGTTGGTGGATTGTATCCTTGAGGGATCCGATAACAAGTTCCCCCAAACCAACAAGCATCAACAAACATAATTAGTTATAACGAAAAGTAATTTATGCACAGTATTGTACAGTACAACTCCCAGGTACTGTAGGTGTGGACAATGAATCTTCCTGAAGGTAATAGCTGCTCTTGGGAGTTCAGAATTAACCTGATTTAACATGTACATCCCAAAAATAAAGTTACAAACTTTACAAACAACCCAAAAAATGTTCTGAAGCCATCCAGCTTCTTCGTAGGGTCCACAAGCCCAACCTCAACAGCTTCTTCATCAAATTCACTCAAGAGAAACTTGGGCATCGAGTAGTCCTGCGGGCCCCAGGCAGAGGGCCCCCAGCTCAGGGTCAAAACCAAGGCACGCAACATGGTCGATGAACCCCAGGCTATTCGTCTCAGCAATAGAGAAGAACAACAAAATACGAAAAGACATGGTTGATTGGCTTTTCTACCAGGACGCGGTTCAACATGTCGAAAATGTTTTGTGCAAACCCTCTCCGTGTGATCATGCTCGACGCAGCCCAATCCAATGAAATCATCCACGCGCTCGATGAAACCACACGCTCGCGAGTAGACCGTGGGAACCTTCTCTTTCTCCTCGCGCATCTTTTGCACGATGTAAGCAAAAAGCACGGTGTCACTCACTGTGTCGAAGATCATCATGAAGGGGAAGGCCATGGTGAAAGCAACGACAGAGCCACAAATCGATAGCAAGAAAGGATTCTGCACATAGTCCGGGCTGTAAGGGTCTTCGAAGCCAGGGTAGTATTTGATGATGACGCAAGTTTGCAAATGGCCCAGGGAAGTAATCGCCCCCAAACCTGCTAGCTGAAAAAGCCAGGTTGCGCCATTCAAGATATTCACGGCAGTCATGAACTTGGCATTCACCCATGAAACATGCCAGGCCGATTCATGAAAACAGCGGGAGTTGAGCGCCACGTCCATGTATGCATTACGACACCACGGCTCCAAAGAATTCCTGTAGACCTGCCGTACGTACATCGTTGAGATGCAATAGGTGCAGGAACCAAGCGGACCTCCTATGCCAGACCTTCCTCTACGAGCGATCTCTCTCTCTCTCTCTCGTACTTCGGTGCTCCGGGGATTGGGACCGGCCCCGCTGCGGACCTCGGCCTCGTCCTCCCGCCCGTCGCCCCGTGACTCCGCGCCTGCACGACGCAGTCGCAAAAACAGCTGACGAGGCCCACGGAGTTCCGATCGAAGGAGACGAGGCCGGCCATCAGCCCGAAGGCCAAGCGGATGGGCTGAAGGCATCCCACGACCAAACCACCAACCACCATGGTGCCAAAATGATATCCTTGGAGTGGGTGGACTGGAACTGTGTAAGCACTATATGGTAAGCACGTAAAAACACATCTACGTGCGCAGTCCATACATGGCACTATGGAGCGATGTTGTTTTGGAGCCGCGGGTCAGCGGTCTGCTGCAGGGTCTCGCGGGAGGGACATGTTACAGTAAGTCAAACTGCGTGAAGAAGCTGTTTTGAGGAATGGTCGGAATGGTCATAAAGAAGCATCCAATGAGCAAACACAATGAGCAAACTGGATGTGGAACTGGGCACGTGAAGCTTCTGATGCTCCAGTGTGGGTTCTGCCATAAAGCAGGAAGCAACAGAATCATGAATAAGAAGTCTTGTGAGTCTTGTGGGTCAGCCGAGAAGTGAATGAGAAAGAAGACAAAATACAACAAAAAATACCAAACGAACTTGCTGATAGCAATTCCTGTGTCTGAGGCATACGTAGTATCCTCGCAGAATAGAGCAGCATGGGGCGTGCCCACCTCTTTTCGTGAGGCCGCCCGCAAAAACCCAGAGCTCGGTCGTGTACATGATCACCTGATGGTGAAAAAGACTTAACACGAAGAACAAGTGTATGTATGGAGTATGTTAGTATGTTAGTATGTTACTACAGTGTTACTAATACTAAACTATGTTTACAATGTTTACATTATTTTTGAGTCGTTTTGATGTGCTTTTTGGATTCCACGATCCCCTGCTTCTGCCTAGACCCCTTTTCAAGGATGCAATGATGACCCGACGTCACGAGAAGTGAAGCGGACCTCTCCGGCGAGAGAAGCGACTCTGGAATGTGTTGACTTTTCTTGTTTGGGGTCTTGCATAGGAGATCCCGGCGGCCAAGACACAAAGTCAGCCATGGCAGTAATGATCATGTTGGTCCACATGCACCACCAGGCAATCACTGTGAGCATTCCAATCCTGACTTCGCATGCAAAGTGAACAAGAGGTAGGAGCTAAAAACTTCTGTACGTTACAGTAAAATCTATTGAATGGTCCCAACCACTTGGGTCAAAATGATCCCAAAGGTTTCCAAGTTTGCAGTTGGATGTCTGTTGCCAGGACTGTGGTGGAACAATCCAGTGGAATTCTCGACGTCGGACCTCGTCATTTTGCAGATCACAGGTCAAGATCATTGCCACCACCTCAGTTTGCCAGAAAAAGTCTTCAAGCAATATTGACTGCCTTCAAATCCATCCCAGACGCTCCATGTATGCCATATATGCCAACATTGACCCCCAAAATACCCCAATTGATGAGCGTATATGGCAGTCCCATGGGTCGTGTCTGGGCATGTCAACCCCGTCCAAAACACAACGTCGGCCTTTCAAAAGGCGGCTTCGCCACTGCCGCGGAGGCAACATCCACCAACCCACGACAGCAAAGCGCCAGCACAGGCTCCAACTTCAAGGATGGCGTCTCCAGCACAGCTTTGCAGGAGAATTCGATGCAAGTACTCGCCAAGCGGATATCCTGCCTGATCAAATAGGTGCTTAGCAGAAATGAGGCATGGATTTGAGGACGTATTTCCTCATTCCCTACAGAGCACCTTGTCTGTGTCGCTATGGATGGTAAGGAGAAGGGAGTAAAAATGCCATTGACGAGTTTTATCTGCGGGACTCGTTTTCCTAAAAGACCCACTGAAAAGGAATGAACCACCTCTGGAACATCCAAAAACTCAAGTCCAAGCTAATCTAACCACAAACCTCTCGTGCTTGGATCCCTCCGTGCGAAGCGTTCGTGTGCCACACTGCTTGCAACGAAACTCGTCTTCTTTCTTCTCAGCTGATTTCTCAGAGCCAAGCAACTGCAAGCGCCAAGAGATCATCATGAAAGTGATGCCAATCACAAGCCCGGACAAACCCACCGATCCTTCGACGGCGAAGGAAGCGAGTGCTACCAACCCCCCCCGGTCCTACCCCGTCCGTTCGGATCTTGGTGCTTGAAAGATATGGTCTGAAAAAGATCTTAAAGGAATGAAATAGGAGCGAATGATTTCAGCCCCATGTGGGCCACCTATTCAATTCCTTTTGCCCAACCTACTTCAGCATCTTCAGCACAGCACTCAACAAAAATGTTCAAAAGAGAAATTGAATCCTTGAGGGTCCCAAACGATTGAGTAAGAAAAAAGTAAGCCCCTTGTCACGGAAACCCTCGTGATATGTGCAGACGAGAATGTCAGGAACGGACAAGCGCCCTCCATAGCATGCTCTTCCATAATTAAGAGGGTAGAGGTTCCGCGTTTAATCTGCCAACGGGACAGCACAAGGGCAGGCAAGAGTGATTTCTCTTCAAAGGGATGTATGCACCTCCCACATTGAATACCATTGCATATGTCATGTCAAAAACTCTGAACCAGTTCCAAAAGAGAGTCCATCCGAGAGTTTTGAGCCGGTACTTCCCCAGCAGTAGCCATCATGTTTCCAGCACCACATGTAGTAGGCACCTGCAAGAGTTGAACATGCAAAAATGTTCCGCCGCTCCGCAACCACAAGGATACTTGATGTGGATGCATAAACAAAGCAACATGTCAGACTCTTCAAAGAAACATATTATGTATGGACATATATTCTTGGCTCCTCTGTTGGCGCATGAAGCTCCACACAAGTTGAGGAAGTCACATTGACGCATCCCACTCATGGCAACCTTTAGCAAAAAAACAGATGCGCTGTGAAGACTACATTGGCTGCTGCTGGCCTTACATGACACCAAAGCACGACACAACTCTACATTGCCTAGCTCCACAAGGGAGAACTGCATGAATAAATACATATATATATCTATATACAGAAGGGGTAGCCATGGGGGGTGGAGGTGCAGATTGTAGAAATGCACGTCTTTGTAAGGATGGTGATATGTAAACAATAGCAAAGGCAAAATAGCTTCTGAAAACAATAGACACACCAATAATTAAAAAAACAAAATTTAGACAAACAAGTGTCCAAAACACAAATAAAAAAAACAAACGTTCAGACCTATGTCTCCTGTCCAGCCTCTCCTGGGTCCCCCTCCATGGGTCTGAACGTTTTGTGTTTTTTTGGGGGCTGGTCTGCCAAAAAGGAAACATTTTTTTACTATTCATTTCTAAGTAACCACTAGTTCAATTCCAAAATTTAATTCTATGAATTTTGACTTAAATACAGCTTAACTGAATTCTAAGTCAATTCTTATTCTAATTGAATGTCATTTCTATTTCTATTTACATTCAAATTTGGATCTAAGTGAATTTTAAATTGAATTTGGCTTGAGTATGTAACACGCTTCTACTTTAATTCTAAATTGAGCCTAATTGAATTCTAAATTAAATCTATACTACCCTCAGGTGAAACGGGACCTTATGGTCGTTTTTTTGAAAAGGGACATGCAGATGAGACAGGACCTTATGGACAAATAAACTCATGCACATCAGCTTTAGCAAATGAGACAGGATGTTACGGCCCTTCACGCGACGGTGTGTCCAGGCATGTCCAGACCTAAACAACAGTCCAAAAAGCACAAACTCGCTGCAACAAGCAATATAAAATCAGGTCTGTTTGCTTTGGCTTTGGTGCTGAGATAGGACTATACGGTCCCCCAATTCAGATTACACACATGAGATAGCAAAACAAAAATCACATTGCCCAAATATGCACAGAGCACATGAGATAGGAAAATAACATCTCAAGATCGTCCGACTACTCCCATCTCTCTTGGAGTCAGTATATGTATTTTAAAATTCACTGCAAGAAAATTACAATTCAATGTTTCTTCTAACTTAATTCCATTATCAAAGGAAGTTTAGTTTACGAAACTTCCGTGTTACGGGCATTCAAGAACTGTTCATACACCACTCATCAATACACCACTCACTCATCATACACCACTCACTCATCATACACCACTCATCAATACACCACTCATCAATACACCACTCATCATACACCACTCATCATACACCACTCATCATACACCACTCATCAAACACCACTCATCCATACACCACTCATCAATACACCACTCATTCATACACCACTCATCATACACCACTCATCAATACACCGTTCATCATACACTACACCACTCAACATACACCACTCATCATACACCACTCATCAGAAACCACTCATCATACACCACTCAACATACACCACTCATCATCCAGTTAGCTCTAGTTTCAAGAGCTCTAGCTCCAGTTAGCTCTACTTGCAAGAGCTCTAGCTCCAGGTAGCTCTAGTTTCAATAGCTCTAGCTCCAGGTAGCTCTAGTTTCAAGAGCTCCAGCTCCAGTTAGCTCTAGTTTCAATAGCTCTACGTAGCTCCAGTTTACGTGGCAGGCGCAGCACTTTGTCAACCTCCATGTGCAGATTTCGTGGCAGGCACAGCACTTTGTGAACCTCCATGTGGCAGGCACAGCACTTTGTGAACCTCCATGTGCAGAGTTCGTGGCAGGCACAGCACTTTGTGAACCTCGACGCGCAGATTGCGTGGCAGGCGCAGCACTTTGTGAACCTCCTTGCGCAGATTTCGTGGCAGGCACAGCACTTTGTGAACCTCCATGCTTCTCCGAACCTCGACGGGGAAGCTCCGCGGAACGACGGTTGCGAGACGGTCTCGGGTCATGGTCGGATCATGCTCGGATCATTCTCGGAATCGTCCCTCCATTGTGATTAGAGTTTTCACTTGTTTCTTGACGCGCAGATGTCGTGGCAGGCACAGCGCTTTGCGAACCTCCATGTGCAAATTACGTGGCAGGCGAAGCACTTTGTGAACCTCCATGTGCAGAATTCGTGGCAGGCACAGCACTTGGTGAATCTCCATGTGCAGATTTCGTGGCAGGCACAGCACTTTGCGAACCTTCATGCGCAGATTTCGTGGCAGGCACAGCACTGTGTGAACCTCCATGTGCAGATTTCGTGGCAGGCACAGCACTTTGTGAACCTCCATGTGCAGATTTCGTGGCAGGCACAGCACTTTGTGAACCTCCATGGCAAGCACAGCAATTTGGCAGGTGCAGCACTTTGTGAACCTTCATGTGCAGATTTCGTGGCAGGCACAGCACTTTGTGAACCTTCATGTGCAGATTTCGTGGCAGGCACAGCACTGTGTGAACCTCCATGCGCAGATTTCGTGGCAGGCACAGCGCTTTGTGAACCTCCATGCGCAGATTTCGTGGCAGGCCCAGCACTGTGTGAACCTCGAGGTGCAGATTTCGTGGCAGGCACAGCACTTTGTGAACCTCCATGTGCAGATTTCGTGGCAGGCGGAGCACTTTGTGAACCTCCATGTGCAGATTTCGTGGCAGGCACAGCACTTTGTAAACCTCCATGCGCAGATTTTGTGGCAGGCGCAGCACTTTGTAGTACAACTTTAATACGCGGAGTATCTGCGGAGCTGGAAGATGAGAACTGGCGACTTTGTAGTACAAGTATCTGGGAACCGGGAAGATGAGAACTGGCGACTTTGTAGTACTAGTTTTTAGTACGCGGAGCAATCTGTGGAGCTGGAAGATGAGAACTGGCGACTTTGTAGTGCAACTTTAGTACGCGGAGTATCTGGGGAGCTGGAAGATGAGAACTGG